TATACTATAATCTCAGAATGCTACTTAGAGCATTGAGGTTAAATGACTTGCCAAGATCCACATGGCCAATAGTTCAGTTCAGTAGATTCAGTAAAGTTTTTTGAGTTTTTCTTGTTGCATCACATACATTTGTTACTTATATCCTACCCATCTCAGAGAGTCATCCCTTACAGCAAAGGATAAAAAAAAATGGGGAAAAATAGTGCAGCAAAATTAAATAACATGTTAACTAAGTCTGGCATTATATGCATTTCATATAAAACAGAAACAGAAACAAACATAAAAGTCTTCATCCTTAAGTAACTTACACCTTACTGGAGAAGCTTACATTTTTTTAACTTGATAGCTGTTTTACCGAGGGGTCTTGGCACTTCCAAAGACTTTGTCATGTATAGCTAGGTTGCTATCTCTCTGTCTATCTCTCTGTCTCTTGGTCTCTCTTTTTCCATTTATATCTAGATATAGACAGAGATCTGTGTCTATAGATATATACACTTGTATATATAGAAACATGTATGCATTTATGTATATACCTGTATGTACATATATGCACACATGTGTTTATGTGAATGCATTTTCATATGTCAATCTGTGTGTATCCATGTGCATGTGTATTCCATTGATGAGCTTATTAGCAAAGACTTCCAATGTGGTAGGCCATACTAGAGCATGGGTTTTTTTCTGGCCCTGCCTTGCCAAAGTTATGGCCAGGTTCATACCATAATAAGACATTGGAGTAGGATTTTAGTGGAAATGAATGTGGGAACAGTTTTTTAAAGTTTGAGATTAGAACTAGACCTGTGATTTCACTGATACAGGGAATTTCCAAATGAAGAGACTTTTACCAGGTCAGGTCAACACTTTTTTTTTCTCTGTAGCCTATACTATAATCTCAGAGAGCTGCTTAGAGCATGGAGGTTAAATGACTTGCCCAGATACACGTGGCCAGTAAAGATCAGAGGCAGGATTTGAACCTAGGTCTTCTTGGCTGTGAGGCCAGCTTTCCACAAATACCAAGGCAGCCTCAGTTTTATTTTTTATTTACAAGAGAAAAATTGTGTTGCACCGCTGGTGGTTGTTTAGCCCTTATGTTCTTTGCCTTCTTCCCTCTTCTGCTTCTTTTACTACCTGTGGCTGTCCTCCATATTTCACAATATAATGTAAAGAGCACTAGATTTGAAGTAAGAAGGTGTGATTTTACTCCCAACTCTGTTACTTGTGGGAGCTTGAACAAGTAGGCTTTCTGGATTTCCTCATTGGTAAAATGGGATTAGATGAGGTGATTTGTGAGGTCCTTTCCAGCTTTCCAGCCTGTAATCTTTCTTGAGGTGAGAGTTGGGTTTTACGGAAATGCGGAGAGAAGCATAGATGCTAGAAGACTTGAGTTGGGATGAACCTGGGATCCTATGCAAGAGAAGACCTGGGTTCAGATATTGTCTCTGATGCTCACAAGGCACAAAACCTCCTGAATCTGTTTCCTCATCTGTTGAAATTAGAAGCTGGAGGGAGACACCAGGCGTGCTCAGGAGTTGAATTTGATGTCTTTTAAGGCCTCTCACTCTAAATCTGTGATCATGTGTAACCTAATTAAGCCCTTCAATTTACAGATGGGAAAACTGAGGACACTGGATTGCCACAAATCAGAACACAGGATTTTTTTCCCTAGAAGTTAAAAGAAAAAGAAAAATCTCAACCCCCAAACCATCTTGGGTTACCAATTTCTACCCAACTGTCAGGTTTTTATAAAGCTTTTCCACCTCTCTGCCTCCTACCCAGCAGCCAAAATATAAAAAGTGAGAAAAATAGCAAAAGGAGAGCGTTTGAGGGAAAAAAAACTCTTTTGTTATATTTATTTCCATATTTCTTATGTCTTTTTAGATAGCAATGACTTGTAATGTAGTGACCTTGTGTTTTATTCTGTACATACTTTCATTTCATTAGGTATTTTTATACGATTTAAAAAATCATACTCCTTGGATGACTTTCACCAGAATTTGGGAGACTGACCAGAAATCAATCACATTTTATAAAACTTTTTATACGTGTTCTTCCAGAGCTGCTGTAGGAACCCTTTTTTTATCCTAAAAAATATAATATGTGAGGAGTTGATAGAAGAGACTAAAAAAGTTAAAGGCAGAAAAATTGGAGGAAGCAAAAAGCTTCTGCTCAAAGCCGTATTTCCTGGGGCACAGCCATGTTCTTTATCAAAAACTTGGACCTACCCTGCCTGGGTGTTCTTCTGCTGCTATCAAATGCATTAGGTCCAAACAGCTAAATGTCCTGGGGATCAGAAAAGAGCAGCCAGTTTTGAGTCAGAGGACCTGTATTCAAATTTTACATCTGCCACTATCTGTGTAAGATTGGACAAGTTATTTAATCTCTCTGGGCCTCAGTTTCACCATTTGTGAAATAAAGAGGGCTTCAGAGGCAATTAGGTAGGGCAGTAAATAGTACCAGGAGTCAAGAAGACGTGAGTTCATGTCCACCCTCAGCATTTATTAGCTATGTGACCTTATGCAAGTCACTTCACCTGTGCTAACTCATTTTCTTGATCTGTAAAATGGAAATAATTATAGCATCTACCCCCTCAAAATTGTTATTAGAATCAAATGAGTTAATATTGGAAAGTCCTTTGAGAACTCAAAGGGTTATATAAATGTTAATGATTCTAAGATCCCTTCCCTCTGAAGCTATGATCCTATTATTATAAGGGCTCTGCTGCTTCTGACGTGGCACAATGTTACAAGTAAAACATATCTCACAGGGTTGCTCTGAAGATATATACACACAAATACACACATATGTGTATATATAAATGTATGTACATACAAACATATATGTAAACACATGTGTCTATATAGATGCACAAAACATATAGACACTTTTTTCCATGAGAAAATTCCTTCTACCAGTGCAGATCAACAATTGTTCAGTGACTTAGAGTCTGGGAAGTAAGAGGATACGTGACTTACCTGGACTCAAACAGCCATGATGTGTCACATCACAGGCAGGATTTGAATCTAACTAACTACGCTTTCCTGCCTGTGAGGCTGACTGTCTCTCCACTGTGTTCCACTGCCTCTCAGAATATTCCTGGTAAAACTATAAAATCCTATATAAATGCCAGTTCTGAAATTGTCTATTCTTTACCCCCCCCAGCTCTCTTATCAACTCTTTTATCAGCTGTAATCAGTATTCCTTAACTTACTTGCATACCTTATCATAAAGGTGCAATTGCAACTTGTTTTGGTTAAACATTTACAAAACCAGCAGCGTTCCCCACCCCTGCTAGAGCTAATAAGGAGCCACTGGAATTTTTTTTTAACAAGGAGGTGATACATTTTGGAATCTCACTTTGATAGCTAAGTGGAAGTTGGATTGGAATGGGGAGAGCCTTAAGGCAGGGAGACCAACCAGCAGGCAGCAATAACTCAGGCATGAGGTGAAGAGGGTCTGCACCAAGATGGTAACAGTGTCAGAGAAGAGAAGGGGACATATCTGAGAGATGTTATGAATGTAAAATGGACAAGATTTGGCAACAAATTGGATATGGGGAGAGTGAGAGAGAAGGAGGTGTCAGGGATGACATGTAGGTTGTGAACCTGAGGGACTGGGAGAATGGTGATAACCCCAACAGTAATAGGGGAATTAGGAAAGGGGAGGGATTTGGGGGGGAAAGATGAGTTCAGTTTTTGACATGTTGAGTTTCCAAAGAATTCTATGCCACATCCAATTTGAGATGTCCAATAGGTTGTTGAAGATGTTTTACTAGAGGTGAGGAGAGAGATTAGGGCTAGATAAATAGATCTGAGAATCATCAGCATACAGAAAATAATTGAATACATGAGAGCCCAATTGAAAGAGTATAGAGAGAAAAAAAGAGGGCTTAGAACAGAGCTTTAGGGGACACCTATGGTTAACAACCATGACCTGGATGAAGAACCAATAAAGGAGACTGAGAAGGAGCAGTCAGATGGTGGGAGACAGTAGCATCTCAAAAATTTAGAAAGAAAAGAGTATCGAGGAAAAGAAAGTGATTGATAGTATCAAAAGCTGCATAGAGGTCAAGAAGGATGAATAACAAGAAAAGGTTTGGCCTTTCAGAGTTAATTGGTAACTTTGGAGAGAGCAATTTCAGTTGAATGATGATGTCTGAAGCCAGACGGTAGAGAGTTAAGGAGAGGAAAAGAAGTAAAGAAACTAATTGTAGATGACCTTCTCAAGGGTGTTAGCCACGAAAGGGAGGAGAAATATAGGACAATGCTGTGGGAATTGATGGATCAAGTGAACTTTTGTTTTTCAGGATGAGTAAGATATATGAGCAGGGAAACAGCCAGTAAAATGCGGGCAAGGAGAGATTGAAGAATTGTAAAAGAGAGCTATAATAGCTTAAAGCTGCACTAAGGTTTGGGGGCCACTCTGTACGAAGAGGATAATCTGTTGGAGAAGTCTTCGATGGAAAGGGATCAGTTATGCATGGACAGGGGTTTGCCTTGGCAGGTAAAAGGGCCACTTTTACATGTGAAACAAGGGTAAAGGAAGAGGAAGAAATGGTGGTGGAAGACAACTGAGTGCTGTGAGATGAACATGAAGGGAGAAGGACCACTTGGCAAATGACTTCAGTTTTTTTTTTCCAGCAAAATATGAAGCAAGGTTCTCAGATGAGAGGTAGGTGAGAGTCTGAGTTATGGGACTTTTGAGAAAGAAAGAAAGGGTATGGAAAAGCCACTGTGGTGAATAGGATAGTGAATTGATTAGGGAGACATAAAAGGATTGCCTTGCTGCTGTGAGAGCCCATTTGAAAAAATGTAGTATAAATTTCTCGTGGATCCAATTAGCAGTTTCATTATCAATAATAGTATTCTTTCCTCTGTTGTTTTTTCTTCCTTTCTTCTTTTCTCTCTCCTACACCCCCGAAACAGCATCAGACTTTAAGATATGAAAAGAAGGGTCAATCATAATTCTAGCTGAAAAGATGTTTTTGTATTTGGTTTTCCTAGATGAGAATTCTCCAGCCAACTTTTGGGATTCCAAGAACAGAGGTGTGACTGGGACACAAAAAGGACAAATTGTATGGAGAATTGAACCTGGGCCCTATTTTATGGAACGTAAGTAAATGCAGGGTGACTGCTAAGTGTTATGTGAAGATGCAGAAATCTATGGCTGATTGGGATGATTTTTTTTTGCTGTATTTTCTAATGAATGCTCTTTAGTGCCATTTAAATATGCTTAATATTTTTATGACAGTTATCTAAATAGTATATTAGCTGTTAAATAATATAGACTTTTAAGAAACATATATGCAATTATCTCTTAATTTTGTGTGCTAACTTAAAGTCATAGAAATTTTAATGTCATAAGGAAAACATCTAGACCAACTCTTTTTTAAATGAGCAACCTAAAGCCCAAGAGAGATACAGTAATATATTTACTACAATATAATTAGTATAAGGGGCAGGACTAGAATAAAATCTTCATGACTTCTGTCCCAATGCTCTAGCTTCCCTGCCTAGCATTCCTATCACTACACCCAATTCCTTTGACTACAGGAAATTCACAGAGTAAATAACTAAAAATTGTCTGTATAGTAGTTATATTATGTTACCTGCAATATGGTATACTTAAGCTTTATTAGTATTTTCTGTACCTGCTATTTTTAATATTTAACAAATCAGAGAATCACATAGTTGAAAGATGGATCCTCTTCATAATATCCATGATGAGTGGTCATCCAGCTTTTGTCCATCCGTAGAAAGTCCTATCATATTTCTAAGTTTGACATTTTTTTAAAATAGGAAAGACATTACAAAAACAGTTAGAATATTTAATTTTCCAGCTTTTCTTAAGTTATCAAAATTCCTGTATTCTAGGAATACTAGGGAATTCCAGGAGTAAGAATGTATGTAGAGAAAGAAGTAGCTGTGATGATATAATTGGTACTTAAGAGATACTAAAGGAGCAAAAATTTTGTAATGAATAAATAAATAAGTCAAGCATTTATTAAGAGCTTACTACATACCAGACACTGTTCTTAGTACTGGAAATATGACCAGAATACTTCTTAAGTCCCTACTCCAGTGCCTTATCATGGTGTAGAGATGATCCTTTAAGGCTATACCAATGGAGCATGAGATGCATCAGGTTCCATCCTAGAAAAGTCTTGAACTCTGGTCCTAGCAACATAGCTAAATATGCTATGTTTCCAGGGATCATTCTAGCTAAGTATGGAGAGGCCTATCCCTTGTAGTCCAGCTACTTGTTGATGAATTTCTTGGCTTTGGCAACATATGAAACAAAAAAAAAATGCAAAATGGTACTCCATCTTGTGTAGCTCCCTTTATCATGCAATGATGGTGGCAGAAAAGGGGAAAAGGCAGGTGAGTTAGAGAAATCAGTGTTTGGACTGTCAATAAATGTGAACTTAAATGTTGGTACTCTAAATGTGAGCTATAGGTCCAGTGGACATAAATATTACTAGCGTTAATGAATCATGTTAGTCTTGACATGTTTTCCCTATAAATGAAACCAGATGACAAAAAGAAGTTGCAACTAAATAGAAGGATAATTTGCAGGTTCCCCTGGGACAGGCAGAATTGGTTTTATTGTGCACTCAAAACCAAAAAGAAATATCATTTCATGAGACCCATAGTCATTTCCCATTGCAATGCTCATGCTAGTAATTTTCAGTACAACCAGGAAGATAGTTAAAGTCTACACATCAATATCTCTTGAAGAGGTTAAAAAGTTAGAGAAATTTTTACACGGAACCAAATTATATCAACATATGCATTAATACTAAGTGACTTCAATGTCAGGAAAAATTTCTGTAAAACATGATTCAAGAGTAGTAAATCAAAGTGGACAAAAGTTTATAGACTCCACAAATTTTTCATTGAAGTATATCATAAATACTTTCTTCATGAAGAGTATTAGGAGAAGAGTGTCTGAACATACCAGACATCCAATAACATAACAAAAACCAAATCTGCTATCTTTTAACAGGCAGGATATGACTAATTACTGATGTGACAGTCATTTTTTGCATCAGCTGTCTGTAAGGATTAAGACTAAAGATCCATTAAAGAGTAATGGCAATATCAAATTAGAAAAGAAAGAATGAGAACATATGCAAGCCATAGGATTTCAGAATCTGTGAGTTGGAAGGAACCTCAGTGATCAACTGGTCCAAACTTTACGCAAGAGGAATCCCCACTTTAGCATATTTGACAAGTGATCATCCAACCATCCAGGCAAATCTAATCTGACTTATTTAAACAAGCTGTCTGACCTCCCAAGATTGGTTAATGGATAAAAGAACAGACTTCAACACAAATAACATTATTTGCTAAAGATGTTTGACTAACGAATATAAACAAATCACTAGAATGACAAATAAAAAGAATCTAAAAACCATCATAGCCAATACGTCGAGAAGAATATGAATGAATGAGTGATAAAGCATTTATTGAGTACTTATTTTCTTCTAATCACTGTGCTAAATGCTAGTAACAGAAATAGGAAAAGTGAGACAATCCCTGTGTTTGATGATCCCACACTCTAATTGAGGGAGACAGCACTAAAAGACTATTTAGCTGTGGGACTGATGGAAAAGCCCAGCAGTTCTTGGATTGCATTAGTAGGTCAGATAAAAAGGTTGGGTCTCTAAAGCATTGGAGCAGATGGAAAGGCTTGTTGCTTTTCTGTCTTGCCAGAGGAAATAGAGTTGGTGCTTATCTAAGCAGTGTGAGCAGTCAAGCAACCCATATGGGTTCTGACCACCTTGGGCTGTGGGAAGAGGTGAAGGCCCACTCTGGTCAAAGGCAATAACAATTTCAAATATAAAACACATTGGTAAACTTGAACAGAGCAGCATGGTGAAAGATAACAAACACGCTCACCTTAGGAAACAGTGAGAACCAATACAGGGAAAAAACAAGTTTAAAGAAAGCTTAGAGAATGAACAGAGGGAGCCATCATGAATACATGTAAGGGTAACACTGAAAGACTGACAGTTGTCAGATAAAAATGGAGAAGGGCTGTTAAGATGTCTACTGTAAACAAATGAAACTTCTACATTTGGATTCAAATAGCGCAGTCCTCAATGTGCTAAATAAGGATTTGGCCAAGCATATACAAAAGACATCCATGCTGGATGGGAGAAGGACAATTTTGAGGACATTAACAGATTAGTTCACAAGATTTTGGAAAGAGTAGAGGATTAAAATGTTTAGAAAAATGTATATGTCTTGCTATTTCAAAAAAAAGTGACAGAAAATAACGATTATTACCCCATATGCCTACTTATCTTTTAAAAATCTTTATGAGAACAACTATAGGCATCCTTTACAAAGGAAACAGGTAGACTTTCCCAAATGATGTTCCACAACAGACTACATCTTTATAGTCCCAATTGAATAAAGGATGTAGAAGATTTCTTTTGCTTATTGTTTGTTGATGAAAAAGCATTTGATCCAGAACAAAAGTTCTTCTCTAACCAGATCTCTCCCATACCTATGTAAAAATCATGTAAGATTCCTTGAAAGATGTGACAACTGAGATAATTGTGTCTGACAAGCCTGGGATTATTAGTGTCAAATGAGGAATGAAATGAAGAGAATTGAAGTGTAGTAAATAGAGAACTAGCTTTGATGTTAGGAAGACCTATGTTGAAGTCCTACCCCTGACATAAATTGACTACGTAATTGCACAAGTCACTCACATATCCCTGTCAACTATCTATACCTGTAAGTTGTAGAATAGGTGCTGACCTAAATTCATAGGAAGAGTCTCCTCTTTGGAGTTCCCTATACCAATGACAACAAAAGTCTGGTTCCAGTGGGGAAAAAAATAACCCCGAAGACTTTGGCTTATCTATGTAAGACAAAAAGAAATGATGAAGGCCTCTTGTCCAGACTATGATACACAGTTAAATGGAGAGACCATGAAGCTGGTCTAGCAGTAGACAGACAGGCAATGATCCAAGTTCATTACTGAACATGAAAATGAGTAAATGATTGCTTTTGAGAAATGGTAGTATTTACAATGTCCTAAGCTTCTCCCTGAAACAAAAGCTTATTTTTAAAATATCACCGATCTTCTAGTAATGCTTTATGATTGCAAATCAGAGAATGCTGCCATCTCCAGAGAATTAAAATTTTGGGGTTACCCAAAGGAGAATGAAGTGAAACATGGTAGGTTTGTAAGCTGCCACATGGCACCAATGGAGAGTAAAGCAGGAAAAGTGGCATAGTGTACTTTATGAGAAAGACATATGACCAGAAAAGGAAGTAGTAGGCCAGTTGTGATCAAATCAAGAGATACTGGATAGATATCCTATGTACAAAATCAAGAGATCTAAAGGAAATCCCCATTAAAATGTAAGCTCCTTGACGGCAGGACCATATTTTTGCTTTTCTTTGTGTCCCAGCACTTATCACAGTGCCTGGCACATAGTAAGAACTTAATAAATGCTCCTTCACTGACTGATACATAATTTATCATATTTATTCAAGTCCTCCTTAATCTGAGAACCTTCCTTCTGAGACTCCTTCCAATTTATCCTGTATTCATTTATTTTCTATTTGTATCCCTAGCACTCATCCCCAGTGCTTTGCATATAGTGTGCTAACAGTCGAGAAGTCACAAAGCACTTTACATGTGTTATCTCATTTGATCCTTGAGGTAGCTGCTATTATCATCCCCATTTTACAGATGAGGAAGCTAAGGTTGAGAGAGGTTCAGTGACTTGCTCAGGGTCAGTCAGCTAGTATTTTTTCAGCAGAGTTCTGGAACTCAGGTCTTCCTGATTCTAAATCCCCCATACTATCTGTCCCACCACACCTAAGCACTGAATGAATAGTTTTTAATTTAATCATTCATGCCACTACTTCTTCAGATTTTCTGCCATGGGCTCTTACTTTCCCACTCTGAAGGACTACATCACATAGAATACCTACAATGATACTGATTGTCATTTCTCTCATGTTTTTCTGCCCTGAGATAGTTAAAGAATAGTGGTTAGCCCATTTCAAAGACACAGCTGTTCACCAAAGAAAATGGAATGTATTCAGGCTTATGAAACACATACAAAAGTGTATTTTTAAAAGCG